AAGTAGTCAAGAAATTCTAATAGGTTTTGCCCATACAAGAAGAATGTAATCTCAATTTCAATTTAAAAGTACTAAAAACACTCTTCTTAGTAGACTTAACTATACATAAATCCCAATTACCTTGTTACTTTCATATTTAAGCAATTTAGATTTTTCTTGTAAGCTCCAATCCTAATTAGTGAGCTTTACCAAGCTGTAACATCCAATCCGATCATCCACTTGATGTGGAATTTTTCATGCAATTTTCAATGTAATTCTTCTATATTCTCAAGAATTTTTAGCTCAATCCAACTTACAGATTGTGAGAAAACCTCCAAAAATTGCAGTGATGTCACTTAGCTGCCAACTTAAAAAGTAAAATAGAAATCCTAGCAATGATTTCTCCCTTTCCAACTGTTAACTTTGTTTCAAAATTGGTGTGTAGCTTGATCTTCAAGTCCTTCACTACCATGCCAATTTTCACCTTAATCCAACTAATAGATCTTCACATATCATAGAAATCCTACCCAACCTCAAACTGCCACCTTCTGAAACTCTCTTGTGATAAAAACTAGATAACTCTAAACCATGCTATTAGATTATCACAAAATTTTGTATACACTTAGCACACCCAATGATCCAAATAGTATTAAATTTTCAACTATAGATGTTACACCAATTGCACGAAATAGCCAAAATTTCTAGCCCTAATTATATTATATAAAACCCAAATCATTGATACACACCCTGACTTTGAACAACAATTGTTAAGTCTTCAAAAACCCTCAAAAAACAATCCTTATGCCTCTGGAAAGAAATTTAAGCTAGATCTCAAATCCTATCCTTCAATCTTTGAATAAATCCCTAACTTGCCCTTGGCGGTCGTTTTAGTGACTAGAGGTTTGATTTTGTCCCTGTCTCACAAATGGTCGATCCTTGGATATCAATCTAACTTATCCTAAGGAATTTTTTGCCCAATTCTACCCTTAACTTGATCCTAGTATCAACCATACCAACTATTTATCTTTTCTATTTTGATTTTATCAATTTATGGTCTTTCTAAGGTAATAGAAGAGTCTTTACAACCTAGAAGGTAAAATTACTAACTAATCTTCAACCTACTAACTATTAAGATAAGAAAATAGCCTAAGAGAATTTCATAAAAGCCATGTCTAGATACCTCAAATTATAGTTGAACTAAAATAATTAGATATTAATTAGAAATTCAATTTTGATTATAATTTCACTATATAGTTGTATTACATCACAACAATGTGATCAATTCAAAAATCTTACACAATCTAAGTTGATGCAAGATTATGTTTCTTGATTCAAGTCCTTATGTCTCCAAATTGGTAATGTTTTGAAAGAAGAGATGATAGATTGATTTCTATGAGATTTGAAACCTAGAGTCTAACAAGAGGTGGAACTAAGAAATCTACAAACATTGAAAGAGACAATTAAGTTTGTAAAGAGGGTCGATGCTATAGATTTCAAAAATCACGGAGCACAACCTATAGCACAAAGTCTTATGCTGCTATTTAATACTATGGTACAACAACCAATGCCAATGGAGATTGATGCCCTACAAGGATCATTGATACGACAAAGACAACAAATATTGGTGCAAAAAGAATAATGTTTTTATTATTGAGAGCTAGGCCATCAGATTGAAGGTTGTCCAAAATATCAAAATTCAAGCACCAACAAAATAAGGTGGATTCATAGTCTCAAAACTTACCAAGTTGATAATGAGACACAGTACATAAACGAGGCTCTCCAATAAAGGCGTCGAGGGCCAATACTAGGAATAGCTACTATCTCTTAGAAACAAATGGCATGGCCTTAGACAACTATAAAAAGAGTTGATTACTGCATCTAATGAGACTACTAAAAGAACAAGCATGTCAAGTGCTTGTGGATTGTTGCTCTATAAAAAATTGCATCTTGATTGAAATTACCAATTGACTTGGAATTAAAACTAAGATAATCAAAATAGGAAATATATACTTATAGATGACTAAGAGAACATATTGAATGAGACATGTGAAGAAGAAACCTTGAGGTTGACTGACACCTATATCTTAAGAGAGAAGTTCAAGGTAACAAAGCTAAGATATAATGTTATCTTTTGTATGCCATGGCTAAAGATGAAAAATAAGTAAGTTAATTAAGTAGCAAGGATAATTTCTTTCAAAAATAGTGGACGTGAGGTGACTCTTTGTATCTCTACATCAAATAAAGAAGAAAAACAATCTGCAACTAAAGACTTAATCATAGGGACGGCATTTATGAAGAAGCAAATACAACATAAGCAAACGATATATATGATGGTTTTAAATCTTGCATCAATGGTGGTAAAAACAACCAAAGGAGTAGAATAATAGATCAACTGATACAAAAAATTTGAAATGTCTTTCTAATTGACCTACCTAGTGGTGTTCTTCCTAATCGAGGTGCCTCCTTTCAAATAAAACTATTGCTTGAAAGCAAACCAGCAAGTCAACCAATTTACTGTCTAAGACCAAATAATCTTGAAGTGTTGTGGAAAATATTGGACAAACTCTTGGAGAAGGGCCTCATTGGAGAAAGCACATCACCATGGAGAACAGATGTATTCTTTGCACCTAAAAAGGATGGTGGACTTTGGCTTTGCATTGACTATCAAGGCCTCAATAAGTAGACTATTAAAAATACATATTTACTTCAATGCGTGGATGATCTTCTGAACCAACTACAAGATGTGACTATCTTTAGTAAATTAGATCTTTAAAGTGACTATTGGTAGATACCTATTAGAAGAGATGATATAGAAAAGATAGCATTGTGTACACCCTGTAGATATTTTGAATGGTTGGTTTTACCTTTTGGCCTCGCCAATGCTTCAGCTTCTTTCATGAGTTATACGAACAGATTCTTTTGGGACCTTTTGGACAAATATGTAGTTGTTTTCATTGATGATATCCTCCTATATAATAAAACCCATGAAGAGTATGAGCAACACCAATGAGAAGTGTTGCACCGGCTACAACTTAGATCGGTCTTGTTTCAGGTAGAACTTGATAAAAATAGATTAATATGACAATACCTTTTAGAAAAGCTTCCTAAAGGCTTTATAGAAGTTGTTTTGACTTTACATGTGTTTTTAGTTGATTGGTAGGTTAAAAACTTGGTCAATAAGCTAACCACATGCCACATGTGTTGGTAGCTTATAGAACAAGCTAACTATGTGGCGTTCATATAGAAAACTTGCCTTGTAAGTTTAGATATGTATCATGCAAAATCAACACATATTTGGAGGTTCTATAGAATGTTGCCACATAGATCTTAGGTAGATAGTATATATAAAAGCAAAAGTGAAGCCTTCTTCACTTTTATCAACTCTTTTCTTGCTTCTAATCTAATTTCAAGAGTCTCTAGTTTCTTTGTCTTTTGGCAATAGCCATTCCAGTTTTCTTTTTAATGTATATACTTATCTATTTCTATTTTGTCAAATTTCTTTGAGATAGCCTCATTTGATTATTTGCTTTCATCGAGTTCTTATCTTTGACATTAAACTATGATTGGTAGCCAAGTAAGAAACATTAGCCAAATTTATTTCCTAAATAAAAGAAAGAAAAAAATACACAAAAGAAAGAGGCATATTATTAACTCCTTGTTTATCAAGATGACATGTAGAGTGTAGCATTCAAAATGCTCTAAATTTGAAGATTTTAGACCTGTCAAAACTATTGAATGAGATGAACATCCACGTGAACTTCCACCCACCAAACATCACACTCCTGTACAAGTTTACTATGCATCCTATCTCACACTCAGGCACCAACCAACCTGTAGCAGATTTTCCTTCCGAACTACCACTATTAGGGCAAAATGCGGAAACCAAAGAGCTCCGGAACACACTCCCCCCCCCCCTTCCCTTTGCCTACCTGGCACTCTGCTCCGCGTCCCCTATTGGTCACCTCAGTCCTTGCTGGGCATGTCTCTGCTCATTTCTATTCCTCCCTTGAGACCCCAGATCCGTCACTTCCTGCCGAAATTAGCCTCTACCAGGTTGTAGGGTTGGATTCAGGGGAGCTACCACATTTGGAGAAGCAGCCAAATATACTCTGGGAAAAGTATACCAGGGCGTTAAATAGCCCCCCACCTGAACAATTGCGTTGCAGAATGTTCGTGTGTTTTTTTTTTAAACACTTTTCCTTCTTTTCTTTATTTTTCTCAGCTAATATCTCAAAGATCTTCTGTGAAGAAGAGTGTCCTTCTTGGGCGTGATATTCAGATGTTCGGGTTCTGTCTTGTGCCTTCGTAAAGATAGTAACAGTATGGAAGTCATGTGCAGTGGATGCGACGAGTTCAAATATCCGTGGGATGAAAAGTGTTTCAGGTGCCGAATCATTTTTCAAATATCCTCCCAGGAATAATCAGAACCATTTTGCGTTCGGATCGACGAAGAATGAAAGGCAGATGGAGACAAGCCAAAGGAATTTGTTCCAGTTCGCGCCGTTAATTCCATAGTGGTGGAGGATTCGACGCCCAGATTGGATTTGTGAGGCTTTCACTCTCGCTATCAGCACGCGCATAGACAACGATTTAAAATTCTGCAATCAGACTGAATCAATTTTGAGCCACACCCTGTGACTACCACTACTGTTTCAAAGTGGATTACCTTGCCCCTCGTCAAACAATAATAAGTTCGGGATGTCATGGGAACTGCCTCTCAAGCACGCTCGGATCTCGAATCATCTCCGAGGCTTGCGATTTGACACAGACAGTCAGGACGTACACACCGAGGATTGAAACTTACTTATCCAGTTACAGGGAATTTCTCATGACGGAGAGTCATCCTTTGGTGCCTCAAAGATATTGGCATCGCTGTCCAAACATCCTATTGGCAAGCCCCTCCCCATCACCGCAGCACCGCACCAGGGGGGATAATCATTTGTCATAATGAAATGGACTTCCATCATAATCATCTTAATGACCCCGCTCAGCCCTTCAGCTATAATAAAGGAATTGCAGCTACACCTCTGATCACCCGCAGTGAGACCATTGGGGAGGGGTGGGCCTCTCTCCCCCATGAACATCGATGTGGAGTCTGATAATCCCCATAGTCATGCCTCAAGCCTCTCTGGGCTAATGGTACCCAGTGTGCAGGCTTGTCGGACGGATTGTGCGAGCAGTGTAGGCTTCTCACTTGTCCTCTCCAGCACGGAGTTGCGGAGATTTTTTTTTTTTTCGCTCCCATCAATTCGACACCCGAATAATCCCATGTTGGCACGTGGAGTGGATAAGTTGGAATTTGGAGACTACACCGGTGCATGAGTTGTGTTGTTGTGTAGAGATTGTGCATACTTTTGGCTTGTCAGCCGAATCCAGCAAGAGCTTTTTAGGTCATCCCCTGCAGCTCCTCCACGATAGTTTTGGTAGGCACCAACTTCCAATCTTCGGCAGCAATCATAAGTGTGTCGAATTTCATTTGTTTCCCACGTTCGAGTCCCTTTGTTGGTGGGATTCGAATAAGCTACCAGATCATTCACTTCTATATTACTGCACCCTTCCATTCTATATAGTACTCATTACTGTCTTGTAAGACAAGATGTGAGCAATTTTTTCCCGGTGTACCAGATTTGTCAGATAGAGGTCATATACTTAACGGGAAAGATGCAGTCCTGCCATTCCGGGCAACATGAATGCTCAAACTATGATTGCAGTTTCCAACAGTTCAGGAGTGCCGGAGCACTGGAGCGCCAGTTGGAAGGATGCACTGATGTAGATCAATCCGTTAGTGTAACGAATCCTTGCGACGATTGTAGAGGCTTTCGGTATTAAATTCCAGCCTCCAGGAGTAAGATGGAGGTTAAGGACCCTGTGCACTTAGTAGCAAATATTCAAATGAGAACTTTGAAGACTGAAGTGGAGAAAGGTTCCATGTGAACAGCAATTGGACATGGGTTAAGTCCAAAGGCTCCTCCATCACTCCCCGGCCCCGGAGGCTCTCGGGGGCGTGGGAAGATCAACGCTGTTCCACGTTCGGACCGAAAATCTTTAGAAGTCTTCGGAGGCGCTCCGGCGAGCACTCGCTACCTTTCAGATGCAGGAGGTTCTCTAAAAGATAGTTATTTAGCGGAAGAATTACAAGCCAAAGCGGCGATATCTCCTCGCATTGAACAGCCATTTGCAAATCATAAGTCTTCCTCGCCAAACCCATCCTGGATTGCCTCCGGCTTGGTTGGGTACCGAACCGGCCACGAGGTCTCTTCCGTCGCCGCCATGCCCTCCCTCATTTTCTCAAATCTTTTGTAAGTCACCTTCTATACTCGCCCCCTCCGAATAAAACCAATCTTGGACCAAGCCTGATAACATCAAGCCGGCGGAATCGAACTTGCTGCTTCAATGGGAGATGAATCTTGAAATACCAGAGTATAGACCCAAGCCCGTGGTCGGGGCGGAGGAGCCGACTCCGAAACCAGTTGTGAGGCATCAGCGAAGCTCATCAGATACCTTGATGAAGGCCTTGCCCCAGCTCGAGGAGAGGCAAAGTATATTCAACAAGCTAAAGCAGCAGGTGAGTTAATTTTTGGCCGATGTTTGATTGATAGTTTGTGTCAACCTTGGGTAGTCTGTTACGATTTGCTTGACCATTAGAACTGCGTTGCAGTGGACAAGAGGGGGTGATCTTATTTTAAATTGCAACTCTACAGGCAGAGGCAGATGCCAAGAAAGATATGGCGAAGATGAGAAATGATAGAGCGAAGTCGCCACTGTTGGAAACTCCACTGCAGCTCGTCACTGAAGACGAGTTAGTCACTAGCCAGCAAATGGAAGACTTGGAGTGGGACGAGTTTGAAGCGGCTGCAGCCGCCGCATTCGCATCTGATTTTTTTTATCTAAGTGAGTTGAATTACCGTTCTTGATGATTCGCACAAATATTGCAGGACTTGCCGCATAAATATAGGTAATTGTTGTTGTGTACCAGACACTTATTCACGGTTATCTGGCATTGGTTCTTGTGGTTGTACAGGATATGATCATGTGCTTGGTGTCGGATTTAGCTTTGGTTCTTTTAAATTGTGACTTCTAATTTTAGTCTTCTAATTTCTCGGCGACGATTATGACAGAAAGTGGATGTGAAAAAATTCTGGTGTCGAGATGTTCTCAGTCTAGAACATCACGGTGGAGAATGGGCCATTCAATTGTAGGGCCTGTTGCTGCCTCTCCAAAGAATGTGCCAAAAGATTGTCATCGTTCTGAGGTCAGCGAGCGACGAGTGCCGAGCTTCAGCCACAGCGTTTCCTTATCCTCCTGCGTTGTGGGACACCAACAGGTGTTGATACCAATCAATTGAACACCACTTTTTTATCTTCTGTGTGCCCTTAACCCCGGTTGGAATGAGGAGAGCTTCTTGTATCAACTAGTCATTCAACACGTGCCTTCGCAATCTCCTAATTCCTAACCATACGGATACGAGAATATGCCGCAGCAGTACTGGAGTCGAATATATTTAAATGAAAGAGGATGTTCTATGTTAAGAATAGAACGCACTAAATTGATTGGCTACTGCCATTACAGGTGTTGTTTACATCCTGAAGGTAGCTACTTCTGCTGATATTCGACTCCAGGCTTCCGTCTCTTTATTGTTAATACTAGGTTTTGATTCGTTTTTCACTCCCCTTGAGCAAGTAGTGTACCTTGCCTCTCAAGGATTTTTGCATTCTCAAATTGTTTTGATAAGGATCGTCGATTTAGGGTGGTTACCAGTTACTCTGATTTCCGCACTCCGCATCCATTCATACATGGCTGCTCTTTGCTGCGCAGTCTGTTACCATGCTCTGAGTAAGTCTTTTCACTGGAAGTCCATCTGTTGAACCCACCACTCGAGGTGCGAGGGAGGGTGCTGCACTTCTTAGTCTTCCATTTGTCATATAGGTCCGTTATTCTGCACATTCGCTATGATGGATGTTGCGTCTTAGAACGAGGAAATGTTTAGAGTTTCATCTATTACCTGGCACTGCAAAGAAGAATGTTTAGTGTTCCCTTTTGTGAATCTGTGGCCGCACACCACACGGTAGAAATTTCTCGGAGGACGATTTTAGATTGAATATGGACGTGATTTTCTGGCTGTTGTGAATGCAGTCTAACACGTCGTTCAGTAGAACTGATTTCTTCTTCATATCCCTAGGCAGAACCGTCATCACTGCGTCCACGTTTGAAGTTGGAATATCTGGTGGCTGTCGTGCTCTTTAGTTCAACACCCTTGGTATTTTCTAAACGAGTATTTCATGCAGTAGAAGTTGCTCGAAGTTTTATGACCTTTGGTGTTACGAATAATACTGTTGATGACCCAAGAGGTTGAACAGAGGAGAGACCAAGCAGGATAGTTTACATTCTCCTCAGAGATTCTCTTCCTACTGGGACACAGTGTTGTTCAGAATCTCCTTCCGTCTTCACACTCTCTCTAGCCCTTGCTACAAAATCTCTGGCTACAGCACCTTCTGCTCTGCGACATGTCACACTTGTAGAACCCGGCCAATAAGCCCTCTCGTCGAATTGGGATTGTAAACGAGGTGTTACTGCTTTCAAGGCTGTTACTTTACAGGTAACCAACTTCATGCTGGAAACAGCAAACCTACTTGCACAATACACGGATCGTAGTTGTGGAATACCTCGAGGAATAGAGATCAGGGTGGATCAGGGAATTGCGTGACAATTTAGTGAAATTAGTTTCAGAGATCCTCGAAGTAAAGAGCATGGCTACATGATGGGGCTCTGGAACCAAATTAATCAGCCAGTGTTACAACGACTAAACAGGATAATTTACTCCGAAACTACGACCTTGAGGTGGGCACCGAAATCGTGTTAAGGAATCCGCTGTTCTGTAAATTTTGAATTACAGTGTCATGATTTCACTTCGAGATCCGTAGAGTTTTCAAAAATTTCTTTGGAGAACCACTAGGTCTGTTCTTGCTTCTTGGTGTAATAGTAATTGTGTCTTGTCAATTGCCTCCTCTGTGCAAGTGTTGTCTACCGAGATATTAAGTTGGACCAATCCCACTTCTGGTCCTCCGGTCGCTGGCAAGTGACTCGCTAGTCTTACGTAATGTGGTGTACTGAAGTTTCTAACTGACGCAGCAACTTGTTCTGCAGCATTGGCTTGGTAATGCCTCGAAAAAACAGGGTTAGTTTCACGTCGCTGGAACTACGGTAGCGAGCTTATTATCTAGCAGTTTCTGTAGCACAACTGTGGTGTTCACTTCACTCAAGTCATAGCTTCGGAGCAAATTGCCATGTTTTGTCATATCGTGAAACTTGAAGATTTCTTTGCTATCAGAGTCCATATCATGCTGCCATGCCCTTAAGCTCGAAGCAAACCATGGCCACAATCACTGTATGCTACTTATAAGTTTGTTGTTCCAGGATGTACTTGGTTTCTGGTTCAGTAACAAATTTGGTAGAGGTCACGCCGTATCTACAATCCCCAGCTTCAAGAGAAGGTGCAGTAGCGATAGGGTTTCGTAGCAAGTGAGTTAAGCAGCAACGCAGAAGGTGCTGAGGCTAAAGCGTTTTGTAGCAAGAGCTAAGAGATTGGTTGAATACGGAAGGAATCTCTAAACAACAATGTGAGTGGAGGAAAATCTGTGAGAAGAAATTGGAAAATCTTCCTTGAATTTTTCCATTGTTCAATCTCTTGGATCAGAAGCACCATTAAAGCACCTAGGACCTAGAACCTTCAGAAGCAATTACTATGTTGAATGCTACAGGTATTGTGCTATAGAGCACCACAGCCACCAGAAATTGGAACTACAGACGTAGACGCGCTGATGACGATTCCTTCCAAGGATTTGTAGAAGAAGTCCATCTGATTGGACGACGTGTTGCATTTGTAACAGCGAGACAGTCACTTTCATTCACTAAGCAAATCTGGCAGGAGTTTCTATTTTGTGGTGTGCTGCCACCAATAAAGAAACGAGAACTAAAACCATTATTCTTTGTAGAGCCTTATTTTGGGTGGAGCTCGAAATATTTTCCTCCCTCTAGGACGTAACATCCATCAAACTCGACTGTGCAGAACAACAGACCTATCTGGTAAATAAAACACTAAGAAGCACGGCCTCCTCCGCATATTATAGTGATGGGTCCAACTGATGGACTTCGAAAAGAAAACACTCAGAGCAAGGAAACAAGCTGTGAACCTTAGAGCACCCATGCAGAAACGCAGTGATGGATGTTGAATTCTAACAAGCGGAACTGAAACCTACACTTGTGGTATCCGCCCTAAATCGACGATCCTTGACCCAAACAAATTTTTGAAAATGCAACAATACTTCTGAGGCAGGTACACTACTCTTGCAAAACGAATCGAAACATCTAGTATTCAGAATAAGCAGACGGAAGCTTGCGGTCGAGCTACAGAAGTATCTAAAGATGTACCCTACAGCTGTAGTTGTCGGAGCCAACCCAACTACTATTAGTTCCAAATTATTCCGAAATAAGTAACTTAAAGGATCATCATGCTATCATCATGTTATCCTTAAGTGTTCACTTTGTCCCTACAGACCAAACGCTACTTGGCGAATGCGTCTTTCATTCCTGCGATTCGAGTTTTGATCGAAAGGAATCGCAAAACATGGACGTTTCAACCTAAATTACCTTTTGCAAGCTAACGTGTAGCAGATCAAACTGCAGGTTAGATTGGCACTGTCGTTCTGAACAGCTGGTCAAACCCAGAAAGAATGGATTCCAGATTCTATGTTGAGCTACAGATTTGGAAAGGTTGAAAAGTAGAAGTTACAGTGAGGAATCCAAGATGTGAATTTAAAATAAAGATATTTGGAGCTTTCAACCACTTTCCACTTGGATGTAGTGTATGTATATATATATATATATACACACACACAAAACTGTCGAGCAAAATTAGAATTTCTAATAGTTTTGGATAAAAAGACAAAAATCTAAGCTGTATGTATAAGTTAGATTCAATTCTAAAATTCTCTCTTTACTTTCGAAGGACCATTAATAAAAATAGAGACACCATGAGAGATTCTTGGAATTAAAAAACATTGTTCTTTAATCCATGTATATTATTGTGGCTTCTAAAAGACCATTGATTGGAAATAAAAATATTTCAAATTTATATCCTATATTACTTTTGATTAAATACTTAAATTTATTATTATCAATAAATTATTGTTGTGGTATTAAGATTGGACTTGGATGCTCTATGTGACTTGATCTTTAAGAATGGAGTAAGTGTACTCTTCTCTTTCTAGAACTATAAAGGCAATCTTGATTTTTTTCTATCTCATTTTAAAATCTATAAAGGAAATTTTAAAAAGAAGATGAAATTGTAAAATATCCACTCATACAAATCATAATATGAGGTAAAGAAATTAATGCTAAATTTACTTGATCCTCATACATTAAATTAAATAATTAACTTTTTTGTGAAGTGTAACAATTGATTTTTCAAATTTTAAGTTGAAAGCCGTATATGTAGACCTTAATGTTTTTACAATTCAATGGAAATACCAACGTCTTCTTAATACATATATTCAAAAGTGAAAGAAATACAAATTAATGTGGTATATTTTATACCTCTAATTGAACAAAAAAAGACTCAATGGTGTTAAGAAAGATTATATGTATATTATAGAGAACCTAAAGATAATGCTCAACATGTCTAAAGAAGCAGCATAATCACAAAATAAAAAGCATAGTTGTCAAAAAAGATAGTATATTACAAAACAAGTTTGTCCAACTACATTAAAAACCATGCAGCTAGAATCTTGTACAATGCCTAATAAATATTCTTTTTTTAGAATCTTTTTTTTTTAATAATAGATATTTATTTATGATCTAAAAATTACAAAGCCTTTTTTTCATTATATATATATATATTTTAAAATAAAGTCTTTATTAAAAAAACATAAAATATCCTTAGTAAAAAAAACTAAATATATATATGTAGAAGTCATAGATGGTTGTCTTTTGTTTTCTATAGATGTTATTTATGAAAACATTCCCATGAATATAATAACAAATGGTTATAATAGTATAATGATATTTAATATTATTAGATCTTCAAATCTAATTATTTTAAATTTATTGTAGCCAAAAAAATTTCATTCTAAAATAAATTGGATTTTTTATACTTTTAGTTTTTTCTTAGAACATAATTAAGACTTTTACTAATCAAGTAAAAAATCATAAGATTATTATAAAAAAAATCTTATTTGTAGATGCAAGAGCTTTTATGCATATTGCAAAAGAAAGATTGTTGTTTGTTATTTATGCCATATCTATTTCTAGTATTCAAAATTAAAAATAAGTTTATAAACTTTAAGATTTTGTCAGAGTTATAGCATATTTATAAATAAAAATTAAAAAAAAATGTTGTTGTACTTGTTGTAAATACATGTATGAAATTAAAGCTCAATCAAGCTATTAGATTGAAGCATATGAGGATTTTTATAAGTTATAAACTTGAATAATTGAGATTTAGGATCATTAAAGGATTTAACAATGTGGCAATATTTGCTAGTTTTATTGAATCAAAAATTAATAAGAGCAATTTAAAGTAGAATATCTACACACAAAAAAAAAATTGTGAAGCAATTGAATAGTTCAGCAAGGAGAAATCTATATTGTAAGATCAATGTTCAATTCAAAGAAGGAGGGAGGCCAACGATCAAGAGGTTTTGAGAGCTTTGCTTACTATTGGTATGTGCATTATTTTTCAAATTTTGTACACTTGTTTCATACTTAGTTATTGCAATACATGCAAATTTTGAGCCAAAATCATTAAATTAATCATTGGTTATTTAATTTTTAATAATCTATTGGATTATTCAGATTTTTTAAGATTTAAGAATTGATTAAAGATTGATGAGGATTGATTTAGGATCTAAAATTTGGTTAGGATTTGGTTATGATTTAGGATTTGTTTAGGATTTGATTAAGATTTAGGATTTTATTTGGACTTGATTAGGATTTTGAATATGAGTAATTAAAACTGACTAGATATTTATTAGAATTTGATTAGTATTTAATTATGATTTAATTAGTATTTTCTTGAAAATTGTCTAGGATTTTATTAAGATTTTACTATGATTTATTTGACTTGACCTAGGATTTAATATTTCATTAGGATTTTATTAGGATTTCACCTGTGGTTTGATTAAAGTTCATTAAGATTTCATTTAAGGTTTCAATTAGAATTTTATTTAAGATTTGATTAAGGTTCATTATAATTTGAATTAAAATTAAATTAAGATAATTTATATAAGATTTATATATGATTTATTTATGATTTTTATTTTTAATATATCTTTAAGATTCTTTTTTAAATTTTTTATTTCTAATATTTTTTTAAGATTTTTTGTAAGGATTTTTTTTTTTAATTTCTCCAAGATTTTTTATTATTTTTTGAAGATTAATTTAGGATTTTTTTTTTACTTCTATTATAACTTCTTTTAAAATTAGTTTAGATTGATTAAAGTTTGATTAAGATTATTAAGGATTACTTAAAGTTTATTTAAGATTCTATTAGACTTGGTAGAATTGTTGTTGCATTTTCATTTATCCTCTATAGCTAGGTGCCTGATGCATTTTCAAATAAGAACATATGTACTATGTTAATATTCCACAGAGATCTATTTTGGCATAAATCTTAGCTTAATCAAGTTACTTTAAAAGCCATAATATCAATAATAATGGATAACAATTCTTCACTATTATTTTTTTGATGCCACAATAATCAACAAACATTTACAAAGATCTATTTTTTTCTTCACTAAAAGTATTGGTATACTTGTTGGAGATTTGGAATACTAAATAAAATTCTTTGCAAGATTTTCATTGATGTAATCCATTAATGTCAAAAGCTTGTTCTAAGTTAGATTGTACATTAGGCCAAATGGTGGTTGAGCCCTTTTTTGAAGATCAATAAAACAATCATAAGATCAATGTTCTACCAATCTGTCAACATTCTTCTTTTCAAAGACATCTTGAACTTTCTTATATTGCTTTAACATAGCTACTAGTAAGTTTGCTTCTTTGTAAGCTAGAATTGCATAAATAATAAATGGCATTTCTTTCTTAGCCATCTTCATAAAAGTCCTTTCTTCAAAAAATAAGGGCTTCATAATTGATGACTTTTTGATAGCTTTATCCAAATGAATTCTATAAGAAATTCAACCTTATGAAATATCTAATCTATAGATAGATTATATCTTATTAACTACAAAAGTCCTAAAATGATAGGATTGGATAAGATTCTAATAATATTAAATATTATTTTGCTACTGTGACTTTCAAATGATATTTTTAGTGGTATTGTCTCATAAGTAACATTGCTTGAAGATAAAGGTTGATCATTTATTACTTCTACATGTATAGATTTTGGCTTTTGTATTAGAAGAATTTTATGAAATTTAAAAAATTCCTCATCTAAAAAACAAGCAAATGCTCCTGAATCTAATAAGGCATTTGTTTGAAGTTTTTGTGGACCAAGAAATAAAAGTATAGTAAAACAATGAGCAAATTGAATAAATAGAGAGGAACCTTGATAAACTTGAGGTATTGAAGTGTCTAATCATAACATCTTTATTATAGCTAGTCATCTTTATTTTCTTGAATAATTGTACTTTTAGTCCTACTTATACGTTCTTTATTTAGATAATTTCTAGATTTGTGGCCTCTTTCATTATAATATAGACATAGGCCTTATTCAAATTAATATTTCTTTTCCGTATTGTAAGAGGTTTAAATTATGTAAAACCAATTTGTATATCCTGAGCTCTAGAATGTAGAATTAATATATTTATTAAAGCAAAAAAGTACAAATTTTTAGTATGTTTCTTTTGTCAAAGTTCACAAGCGTTGATCTTGATGGTATTAAAATTATTGATTATTCTACTTCATAGCTTAGTGGATAGCTTTGTTGAGTGTTTGAGGATCAAATAATAATAATTATAGGTCTTT